TGACGAGTTAACTGAAAGAAACTAAACTGAAAGAATGGCCAGCTCTCCAGCATTTTTTCTCCAGCAGCTGCAATTGATTTTCACTTGAATTTCTTTTTTATTTGGTAGATCGCTCGCAACGGAGAGCAGCGATGAATACTGGCCCCGTTTTCCCTGCCTGTCGCTCAATTTTTGTTGTTTTTCTTTGGCTTTGATGTCTTCTGGTGGAAAGGGAGTGGGTTAATCGGGCGTCAAGGGGTTAAGGGGCTCTGCCATCACACTCTGATATTTGTCGCTATTTTTCGGCTGCCGTGTTTTGGATTTCGTCTTCATCGCAGCAGTTAGTTTTTTTGTTGGCAAATTGCAAATTGGAGTCAGCGTAGGTGCCTTGCGAATTTTGGCCAAAATCGTTGGGTTTTTTTTTTTCTTCTGCATAATTGAATTTGTTTTCGAGGTCAGCAAAAAGCGAGGCAAACGTTTAATAAACTGAACTTTAGAGTTTTGCGAAACCGTTCGTTGGAGTTTCGGTTTTGGATCTACTTGGATTTTGTGTTGTCGATTGCTGATCGCTGCAGTTGTCAATCAAAAAGTCAAATTCCAAGCTGCCAAAGGTGCGCAATTTGTCTTTCAACTGCAATTGAGACGAAAAGCGAATGTGACATGGTCAGCAGCAGCAACAGCGGCAGCGGCTGGAAAATGCAATAAAGCAATCGAAAAAATGGTCGAGAATGCAATGGGATCGACATTGCGCATACGCCGCGTGTGTCTCAGTATCTCTGGCCATCTGATATAGCCGGTAATAAGCCGGTTGCATGGCCTCAACAATCGACAGTCGACTATTGGACTATTGACAGAGCAGGAATGCCGCCCGAATATGACAATCGCCAATAACGCTAACTACATGTCCAACTCCAAGCATTAACCCACTGGAAGCCAACAAAATCTACTGATTCTTCCATTTCATTTTATGACTTTTTATCTCTTTGCAAAATGTAAAAAAGATAATACATCAAATTTACTCAGTTTAAGCCGCTTTCATTATTTTTTTCCAATTGCCCAACTCTCCCATCAATTTAACACATTCGAGATACTAAATAAAAGTGTCTTAAGGTTCATTTAATTCAATCTCACTAAAATGCCCCAGGGAATGGTCTTTACTTCAATAAATCTCATTAGGATCAACTACAAGCCACGATGGGTTAATCGTACCCGTGTTGCCCTGACAGTTTACAAGTTATTCAAACGCAAATGTTTAACAATAAGCAAATAATTCTCTGTGCACATGTCACACAAATCAAAGAGCCGGCCAGAAGGAGGGAAAATCGAGGGATTGCGGACTGGCTGGAGCAGCTAGTTGCTGGCCAACTCCCAAGGGGCCAACTCCATTTCGGCTATGCAAACTCCATTCAAACGCTATGCAAATCAAAGCGAACTGCGTAATGAGCCGCAACCGTAACCGAAAACGAGGCGGGAATCGAAGTTGCGACTACTCAGTGCCCCGCTGTTTGCCACTTGACTTACATGTGTTTGCCGCTGATTGCTTTAATGGGTCACCACTGTACCAGTTGGGACACATACACGTATATATGCAAGTGTGTGTGTGTGTGTGCTAACGGTAAACTGGTTTCGATGACATGGCGCATAACACCCCAGTATATATAGTGCCCGTACTCGAACCCGTACTCGAATATCTGTACAAATGCCAATTGCCCAATGTTTCGCTGACCCGCGCCACGTTCATCGCCCGTCGATGGGCTCATGACATATTAGCAAAGGTTTTTGCCCCACTGCCAGCCGTTTATGACTCGAATGCTGGCCGCTGATTTCATTTAGGGCCAGGCCAAGCTAATCGCAAGTATTTCTGCTCGCAACTCGCAACGCGCCCGTCGCCAGCAGTCAGCAGTCAGCAGTTGCAACATCCATTGCGGTGTGTCACGATCCTGAAGGCGAGGAAATCAAACGAAATAAAAGTCGACTGGGGGCCCAGCACATGTGATGGAATAACTCAAAGGAAAAAAATCGAAACAAAGAATTCATACTCTGGAAATCTGCGAATTTAATTAGATTTTTCAGTTACCAATTTGCTTTGAAACTAGGAAAATATTTTAAACAGGAAACTAAAAATATACAATAATTCAAATAATTCACTTGACACTTGTTTATGTTCTTTAAAATCGTGTACTTAAATTAAAATAAAATATTTATAAAAAGGAACAGGCATAAGGTATTATAATAAAATGTCAGGACAATTCCAAGTGAAATAAAAATGTAATTTAATTTTCAAAATACTTAATAACTAAGAAACTCTTCATAGACCCACTTTCTAGAGTAATTTAAAGTACCCCCTTTAAGGGTATGGGAAACTAGGCACAATCTGTAGAGGTGCCATGCGGAGTTATGGTTATGTGAACAAGCAGCAACAACCAATGCGGCAACTGCAGCTAGCAACAACAACAACAACAATCGGTGGCAGCAACAGCAACAGCAACAAATATCGCATTGAAAATCGCTGCAAATGAGGCAGCGTGAAAAATGCGCGACTGTCGAAATTGTTTTTGGTAAAAATTTCAGGCAGGTTGACTGACAAAAAAAGAAAAAATACGGAGTTGGGGGGAAAACGGAAAATTGAAAGGGGTTAGTCGGGGGCGAGAGGGTAAGCACTTGCAATCGGTTAAGCATTCACATGGGAAAACGACGGGCAGTAGTCAACCAACAGTCAGCAGGTTGCCGAGCCCAGCAGCAAACTGCAATATCAACTGCAGCGGCAACTGCAGCGGCAACTGCAACTGCAACTGCAACAGCAGCAACTGCAGAAACATTTTGACAGCTCTTGCTGGAATTGCAACTTTATTTCACTTTTCGTCCGGCGAATATTTCCAACAATATTTCCACCAAATGTCAGACTCGCTAAATGTGACACAAGACACAAGAAGGGCGAGGGAAAAGCCAGCCATTTTAACCCTAGAGCAACTTTCCCAAGGGTTCATCTGAAAACGTGCGAAATAATTTAATGTTAGGCCTTGAGCCTTTAATGTTAAGCCATTAAAACCCATGGCTTATCTTGTCTTGCATAGGTATATTAAAGTATTATTTTTTAAGTCAACTATGGTCTGTCAAAAATACCTTAATTAATATTCCGTTTAAACTAATTAATTTTACGTTAAATACTTCAAAATTAACTTCCGTCATATATTATAAAGAACTTATCAAAAGTTTATGATTAATTTAGACTACTGAATTTCCCACTTATCATTCAAATGCATAGGGCCCCCAATAGAGTTATAACTGTTAGAAAATAAATGACCATTAATTTATCTCCTTGCAATCCTGTCTTTTGCGCCTTCGGCTGCGAAAAGAGTATGAAAATGGCAGTAGATTGCATGCGTGGTCTATTTGTTTTGTAGAAAAGGGGGGGAAAAGGGGGTCTGCGGAGTACGAAGTAGCTTGACATATTTGTATGTCCAAAAAATATTCCCACGTTAATTTTGTTGCGGAATTTCGTCTTGGTTTTTTTTGCTTAATTGAATTCATTTGACCGAGTGAAAATGTAAAGAGATAAAATAACATAAAGCCAAATGGACTGCAAAAGCAGAAAAGCCAAGCTGGTGAAACCATTTATCATTATTGGCAGAGATCGTTGGCCATATTTAGTCGTATTTATTGGCAAAACAAATTGATTAATTGATCTGGCATTTGCATGCGCCTCTCGTCTTAATGAGAACTTGACGTCTCATTGAGAACTGTTGCCCCCAGCTAGATGATCGATGAATGGCGATGGATGCAAAGGTGCTGGAACGGATGAATGAACGCGGGGTCGTCTGCCATGGGGTGCGCAATCCAGAAATTAAACAGGAGACGATGCACCGAAAGAAAAACCACAAATCCTTATCCTTACATATAGCAAACTTCATAAATCATAATGATGTCCCAGTGCATATCACAATCCAATGGTAAATCAAATAAGTACTTACTGGTACTCCCCTTATGGAAAATATTTTGCTAAATTCCCAGAGAAGAGTGATACATTCTTACCAATTGGTCCACATTTTACAACACAAGTGAGTTGTTTTTTTTTTCTGTGTAGCTGGCAGTTGACCCATCTGAGTCGCATGCGTAACACCGCAAAGTGGTAGCCCAGCGATCGATGTCAGGGACAGTTGAAAGCGCACGAACCTCGCCTGGCTGTCGTCTGCTCCTCTCACCTGGGCTCCATCACCTGCGTCTTGAGCTCCGCACTCATTAATCACGGCTGCGATTCGATCGGTGGAAGGGGTAGTGTGGCAGGGGCAGATGTGGTTGCGATCGGGGAAAAACTTCATTCAAGTGCGCTCAAAGCGCCAAAAATAATGTTGGCTGCCTGCTCGCTTCTTTGTTTGTTGGCTGTGTTTTCGATTACATAAGGCAAACAAATCACGAGAAAGTATAACAAATTCGAATAGTAGTCGCTGATAAGATACTCTACTCGATAAGGAGTTTTAAAATAGAAATTAGTTTTGAGCTGTTTGAAATTTCATACCACAATTCTTGCGTGCAAAACATTTATTAATAAAGAAAAATAAATCCTTTGATTAACAATCAGTTTTATTTTAGCAAGTGAAGCGTAATACTCAAACTTTATTCGCATATGAATATATGAATACATAAATACCTTTCTCCATAAAGCTCATAGTTTAGTAAACCGGCTTACAATCCAATGTATCATGAAATGGTTTATTATAATTTAATAATATGTTGTTATCCAAGGAAGCGTATTGCAAAGCCATTTCCCAAATGATTCGATCAGCAAATGTAGCCTTCAATTGCGGCTAGGGGAGAGTCTTTCGTCATCGACATCAACCCACCGATGCTTTCGCTGGAGCCACTCGAGCCTGTGTTAATACTGTTAACTGGCCCGGGGGTGTTCGAAGTGCAGTGCACCACTTGCGTGGTGCTTCCGGACAAGGCCGCGGTGGTGCCTCGGATGGCGGTGGTTCGCGGTGGTTCGCTCTATAAAAGTGTAAACGCGACCTGGTAGAGACATCAGTTCGACGCATTGGCTCATCTCCATCAGGTCAACATGAAACTATTCGTCTGTTTGCTGGCTGTGGCCGCGGTGGCTCAAGCAGGATTCATTGGAGGAGGAGGCGGTGGAGGTGGCGGTGGCGGCTACGGCGGCGGTGGATCTTCCCATGGCGGCGGAGATGGTGGCTACAGCTACGGCGGCGGCGGCGGCGGTGGCTCAGATCACCATGGCGGCGGTGGTGGTTCCCCGCCTGTCAAAGTCATCAAAGTGATCCACGAAACGGCTCCATCTGGTGGCTCTGGAGGCTGGCAATCCGGTGGAGGCGGCGGCGGCGGCGGCGGCGGCTGGTCGGCTGGTGGTGCTGGCGGTGCTGGCGGCGGATATGGTGGACATGGCGGCGGTGGTGGCGGCGGCGCGCAGGACATCAAAATCATCAAGATCATCTCGCAGCAGGCTTCGTCTGGCGGTTATGGTGGTGGCGGCGGCGGCGGCGGCTATGGAGGTTCCGCTGGAGGATATGGTGGTGCATCCGGTGGCGGTTGGTCATCGGGTGGTGCTTCCAGCGGTGGTTGGTCCTCTGGCGGTGGCGGTGGAGGTGGAGGCGCTGCTCAAGCCGTGAAGATTATCAAGGTCATCTCGGAATCGGACTCTGGCGCTGGAGATTCCGGTGGCTGGTCATCTGGTGGCTCATCCTTCGGCGGACCCAGTTCCTCCTACGGTCCTCCCAGTGCTTCCTACGGTCCTCCATCCAGTGGTGGCTGGTCTTCCGGCGGAGCTTCCAGCGGCGGCTGGTCCTCAGGTGGCTCCGGCAGCGGGGGATGGGCTCCCCAGGGCGGTGGCAGCTGGTAATTGTGATAACCCGTGATTTTATTGTCTTCATTCCATCTCACAACCATTTCTCTGTTATTCCCCATGCCACCATATTTGTTAAATAAAACTTTTCTGTTTGATCATTTTCCCCCAAAAAAAGGAGTGTCTAATTTGCCAAACTCTAGCGCAGAGCAAAAAAGGAGCAACCCAAGAAATCCTTTTACAACTTTTCAATTTAAAACAGAAAAGTCTGCGAAGAAAAAATACCCACCATTCCGCGCTCCTTTTTCCTTCCTAAGAAGCACACTTAAGCGTTAAGTAATAAAATGCAAGCAAAGCTCGGCTGAGAAAAGCAAAAAAAAAAAAAAAGGAGCAGCCAAGAAGGGACAGGAAAGTGGGAGAATAAAGGAAAAACTGTCGGAAAATATGTAAAATATCACTTTTGACTAGCCGGGAAAGTCTAGCCACCCCCAAGGAGCCAGTTTCCTCACAGCGGGTGGGTGGTGGCAAGTGGGTGGGCGGGGTGATTTGGGTGCTTTTCGGGTCGGGATTCATTGGGTTGCATGTATAAAAATATATTTTCCATATAAATCTAACAAAGAACGTGTTCGGGTTACTTGATTAGGGCCAGCAAGAGAGTGGGCAAAACATTTTCAGCTTTTCTTTTCTTATTCCTTTTTTTTCACATTTTTTTGGATATAGAGCGCGGGGAAATGGAAGGACGGGGACGAAGAAAAGGATAAAAGACGAACTGGGTCTCTTTTCGGTTTCCTTGAACATTTACACAATGAATACAAAGACAGAACTTTATATACACACACCAAAAGAAGTGAGCAATTTGTTGCTTTGGTGGGCATAGCCGATATGATAGGTTTGATTTTCTGTATTTTCTGTATTGATTTATCAAAAAGAGGAAGTGAATATTTCTCACCCACCCAGTGGTCTTCGACTTGGGCATTTTCCATTGTGGGAATTGCGCAATTTTTCGGCATTTGAGGAGGAATTATAAAAACAATCATTAAACATATTTATTCTCTCCCACTCAATAGCCATCAACTTGTTGCCGGCATTGTAAACAAACAATTTGGGGCCACATTCCTATACAAAAACCCAAATGCACACACATTACTTGAACTTAATATAGGAAAAATCGAATCTCATCTCTAAACAAAATCGGTATACGAAATCATTTTTATGAGTTAAATGGAAAAAATGTTTTCCATTGAAATTCGCGCCCCTTCCACATTGCAATATAATTTTCCCCCATTGCGTTGATTATATTTGACTGGTGCTTCTTGCCCGAAAATTTGTTATTATTTTAATTTTACTTATTGACTGATTGTGCCATTGTTCCTGCCGCTTTTCAGCACGTGCAAAGCCGTCCAAAGAGTGGAAAATTGCGTGTTTACCCAAGGACAACAGTGGGTGGTTCGCTTTCTGCGTGGTGTGGCCCGCTTTTTTAGAGCACTTTTCTTTTTATTTTTGGGGGGTCGTCTTCGCCGAGTCAACTGTCTGAACAGAACAGAACCGAACCGAACTGAACTGAACTGTTGACCGAATCGCTTTTCAAGTGTGTTTACTGTGGGCGCGTGTGCATCGACGGCAGTCGATTCTGAATCTCAAACATCAACAAACAACTGCAGAAAACACAATCAGCGAGGCGAAAGCAAACAGTTTAAGCGCCCCTCGGAAGTCGTTATTAAGAATCTCACCCGCTCCATTTGACAGGATTCTGGATGAAAGCCCAAACCTCTAACCGAAAGTAATTTCGATCTGTCTGGCTGAGATATATTTTCGCAATAAAGGGATGAATTGATTGAATTCATAAAAAAATGTTGTTTTGACGGAGGTTGACAGACGCTAAAAAAAGATTCTTCTATATCTTCTCTATTTATTTGTCGTTCAGAACAATGTTTGATTTTCTAATTAAAAGTCGGAAGTGTGCTGCTGCTGTGTCAATAGTTAACAAATAAACGATGACCTTTGAAGATTGCTGTGGGTAAATATATAAATAAAAAAGGTTTTTCTGTGTGCATAAGCATATGACAAAAATATAGGGGTCTTCATACCATTCTTACTTAACCGGGTTCAAGTATTATTGGAATGTCTCTCAAACCATATTTAAGAACCACTTTTCTTTCAACAATATTAATTTTTCTGTTCTAAGCTATTTTTATTTCAATTTGAACTCTTAAAAGCTTAAGAGGTTTTTTACTGCACATTTGCTGCAATGCGGCATATATAATTATGCTTAGATGGTGTGAAGTTCCATATGTTATCATTAGTTCGCGTCTGAGTTTCCCATTTACTGTTAGGAAGTTCCTTCTCTCATATCCTTCTTATGGCGTCCTAATAACATTTGAGAAAATGTTCCATCCATCACATCCTTTTCGCAATGGACGTGATTTGTTATTGTCTGCCTGCTTAGTTTTGAAATTGCTTTGATTTACTCAACTGATATGGTTGGGGGATTTCCACTCCTTCTGGCTTATTTCATTTTTTCGGTTCTCCGTCATACCAAAGGAGTCTGTCTGCTGGGTTGAATGGTGTGTGGCACTATTTTCCTGCGAGATATTGCCTGCTGGCGGGATTTCGTCTGGTCGACGACACCGTACCAGAACCAGAGTCACCATTACCGCCAGCGGATCGGTTGGCTGTCGCCAAAGTCGGGGCTTCCAGACCCAGACGTGCGCCGCCGTTGTCGCCATTAACTGTCCCACCGACGCCGTCGGCGACGCCTCCACCGTATCCCACCTCCACCTCCACTTAGAAGGAAACCTCCATCACAAGTTGTCGTCTCATCGATTTCCCCACTTTTCCACCGCCCACTCTCCTCGCACAGAACCCATTTCGATGTCGCCTTTGTTGGCTGCCAAAACACTGAAACAGCTACGAAATCGTTATAAGTATAAGTATGGCGAAAAAGAGAAAAAGTTTCGCAAAAAAAATACAGAACGCGAAATGTGCAATTTGAGGGGTTGGAGGGGCTGGCGGGAATAGCTGTACAAAGGCAAACAAGCAAATATTATTACTAATTCATTTGCGTATACCCTCTGTTGCACCCTTTTTTTCGTCAACACCCACAGTCCAATTCCTCTTGACTCAGTTCCATTGCATTCTTTCTTTAAGCTTAGACTTTTCATTGAAAGATTTTAAGACTTTATACTTATAAGAACGTTCATATAATATGTTTTAATAGTAATCCCAACCATTTCATATTAAGGCTTATGCAAAGCACTGTAACACTTGACTATTTTATCTTTTTATTTGTATAAAAGAGAGCCCGTGTAAGTACAAGAATATTTAGGTCAACATAAATTTAATAACTTTTTTAAGCATTATTTTTCAAATTTGTGTACATCATCACATTCGGTTACTATAGTACTGGAAAAAATCGGTCAGCTTGAGTGGGTCAATAATGGGTCAAAAGCAATGGTTTTCTTGGATAGCATATATCAATAACCAAAATAATCGTGCATATATGATAATTATAACCAAAGAACTATATAGTAATTAATATTCTAAAATTATTTTATATTTTTGTATGTTTGTTTTCGTAAGTCCTGTTAAGGGGTATGCAATAGACCGATCTCTTACCGCCCACTTCACACCATGTTTGTTTATCGTTAAATGTTTTCAGGTGCGCACTTGGTGATTTGTGCTGCGTGCCCGAGGCCTCCCCTTTCCGCCCCTCTCCTTCCACCCATCCCCCTTCCCTTACCCGCCGGAAAACCAACAAGTGAGTACTGAGTACTGAGTACCGGCAGCGAGTACACCGAGTACTCATCAATGTCTGGGCCAGTCATAAGTAATTTATCAAGATACAAAATTGCAGTTGCCCGGCGACGCGTCTGCGTCGACGTCTGTCAATGCCAATCAGTGGCTGGCGATATGATGAGTGTAAGATTACGAGTCGCGATTCACGATTCACGAGTCCCGGTGTGAATGATATTCGAGGTATTTGTCAGGTGGTCGCACACACTCAAGTGATGCCAAATGTCAGCCAGCAATTCGGGTGGTGCGGCGATAGCGATGGTGATGATGGTGGTGGTGAGGTTGATGGTGGTGCTGGTGCTGGATCAGGTGGTGCAGGATTGCGTGAGAGGTGGGGCTGGACAGTAATTGGCCAACTGCGATTCCTATCTATTTCCAGATACCCGTGTTGAAGGTCGAGGGATATCGGGTGTTCGGTGTCAATTGATTCGAAGTCGAAGGGGAATGAATGCGGGATGGTTTGACTTATGGACATCCTGTGATTTATTGGTTATGTTTGCAATGTGATATATTTGAAAAAGTGAAAGCTGTCACTTGCCTCAGCATGAAATCGTCGATGTTTATCGTTTTGGGATTTCCCTTTGTAGTTTTTGTAATGTGACACGTTTCTTAAAATGCAATAATCCAAGTCAATTGACCTTTAAATTGGATTTTTTGAATGCCCAACTGATAAACATCTGCAAATTAACAAAATTTATATAGATTTCTAATATATTTTGGGTATTGAACCATATATTGTAGTCATTAATTTCTGCATTTTAGCTTATAAATAAATGTTAATTCCGTTTTCCTTTTCAAACAAGATAAAATGCTATAATCAAGTTTCCCGATTATCAGATACTCGCCAAGTTTGATACTATCAGAGTTGCGCCAGAAATATTTAGAGGTATGCCACTTAAAAATCCGATTAAGATAAGTTGAGTTATGGAGTTTAGAATATTAGTCTTGTAAAAATATAAATTAAATATTACAACATTTACAAAAAATGTGGGCGTGACAGTTTTGTGCGGTTTGTGGCCGTTACAGTAGACAACATTGGTACTACAAATTTAAGCCCTTAAATGGTACAAAAATATTTTAAAAAAGAAAGTAAGGAGAACAAAACGAAATGCAAATTACTAAAATTCTTAATAATTTTGTACATTTTATAGGATATCACTCATGTAGTTTATAAACTCAATTAAAATTTCAATTCATAAGTCATTATCCTCAAGTGATTTCCCCAAGTCACACTTCCATTCAGCCAACAACAAATAGGAGATTCCGCATTCATCTTTTAGTAATTCAAAAAATCGTTATTTCTGTTTCGCTTACCTCATATCTCTGTCCTGTTCCCACTCAATTACGATGCAAACTATCAGCAATAAAAGCAAATTTCCTTCACCCTGAAGCAGAATTTTCCGACACACACATGGACACGCATTCTCCAATGTGTGCGAGCAACAGAGAGTTGTAATAATTTTTGTGTGTTTTATTTTGTATGTGGGTCATGTCCTTATGAAATATTCAAATGTCCTGAATTACGTATTTATGCCATTTCCACTCTTTTATTGTTCGGCCTTTCAGTCCCCGAGCAAATCCTTTACCCTTAAAAAAACACAAAAATCCAATTGTAAATGCGTTCAGTGCCTGCTTATGTGTGTGGGTGCGTTGGGGCTTGAGCCTCAATTCCGTTATTGAAAATTGACCAAATATGTGTGTGAAAGCAGAAGACGGACGCATGCAAAGTGATTCCCCCTTTTCTTTTTTGTGTTTGGAGGAAGGGAAAAAGGGGAAAACGAAAATGGGAAATGGACTCGGATGAAGGCAACAAAGCGACAATGACAGCAACAAAAGCTGAGGCAATAAAACACACACGAGGGCATAAAAACAAATAAATTGGTAACATTTTCACAATACACACTCCCACAAGCCCAATGGCAAACACTCACACACGCGCACACGCACACACACGGACATTGGTAAATCCGCAACGGAAGTTGTGCTTTTAAATCGATTTTGATTGATTTTCTCACTGCGCCGGGAAATGCCTTTCGGGCACACACACATACAATAGCGCAAACACACATACACATACAACGTATCACCGGGTTTTTCCCGCCTGTTTGTCAATGGCTGCAAAAATAAAATCAAATTGTAAATAATCGAGTCGCAATCGTCGCCTGTTTGTAAATGTATATATGAACATATATTTTTGCTTTTACCCTTTGGCAATGTTACACACAGCAAGAAAAGCAAGAGTAGGCGCTTTAAACTAACTACAAGATACCCTTTAAAATTAATCAATAAGAAATTAAGAAAAAGTATTTTATACAATTTTTCAACAGAGGTGAAAGTATATACATATACCTCCATAAACTATCTATTATTTTATGTACATTACTCCAACCAATTTACAACTTAAAAAAATTGCCTTTTGTCATGTTTTGAAAAATATATTCCCTATTGCGAATTTTTCATACCTTAGTATAAAATGATTTACCTTTTCTAATTATATGAAATGCATACCTCGGCATATTCGACAATGAACTCAATACGTACATCTCATACATTTTTACTCAAAAGAGGTCGACAAACAATTTCTTTCTTTTTATATTTGCACTAAAATTATTTGATTTCACCTTTTCATTCCCCACTCAGCAATTTTGCCCACGCACACGATGCCTTTTCCTTTTAGAATGCAGTTCTGAAAACCTTTCGTTCTGTTTAACGTTATTTATTTATGCTTATTGAATGAGTATCGCTTTATTTCAATATCGTAAAAAACTTAACATCATCGTGGCAAAGAGAACGCAACCAAACTAAAAGCCCTCAGTTACATTTTTAATACAAAATCAATAAATATAAAAATATATAAGCGAGTGGAAAAAATCATAAATGGATGTGTGTTCGTTTGCCAGCTCACACAAAAGCATAACTATGAGTGTGTGTGAGTGTGAGTGTGGAAAGGAATTTTTTTTATGATGCTGCGGACTCATAAAAAGCGCATAAAGTGGCCTTAACATGGCATAAAAAACGCACTAGCAAGTGCTAGCGCATTTGCCGGGTCCAAAAAGGGGGTGGGGGGAGATGTCGGTGGGGGCGTGGCAGGAGTGCCAGGAAACACCATCTATGGTGCAAGCTAGAGAGCATATGTCTGGGGAATATCCACAATGAGGGGGTATGGGTATACAATAGCATATGTCCCACAGAAAAGCACAAGAATTTACCCACGAATAGTCAAGGATAAGAAAAGAAATAAAAATACGTTTAAGGAATTTTAATAGAACGTGAAAACACCTTGGGGATCCATAAATCGTTCGGGTAATTAAACTAAATTCGAATTCCATATCCCCAGTGACTCACTTCGATTGGAATACCTTAGTAAATTGCTCAAAGTACCTAAGAACTTTTTAAACTTTTCAAACCAAATGATGAACAAATTTGTTCAATGGTAATTACTTTCAAATAAAATAGCCATTAAAATCTACCCAAAAATAAAACTTTCTCTATTGTATAATGAAAAAGTGTCCCCCTTATACGTGTAAAAGAATACTTATTTTTCAATTTTGTGCACTGCGCTTAAATATTCAAGGGAGTGTCATTCTCATTTCATTATTATTTCCCCCAACAAGAATCCTAATATATTTCAATATTAATTAAGCCATTTCCTTTTGGAAGCGTCTGATAAAGTTTACGCTTCCTTTTATTGTTTGCAACATTTTAAGGACGAGAACGCCCAAACCCAATTTTGAGCAACTTCTTTGGTGAAACTTTTTGGGATGTGAATTACCATTTCCACCGGCACATTAATAGTTCGAATATTTAAACCCTTTGTGTGCGGCGGCCTCAAGACAACCCCCTTAAGAGCCAACCATCCCTGCAAAGAACATAAGTCAGAATTCAAAGCACTCAATAATCGCACGTACACTCGAATTTACATATCTACATCAGGAATCGTCAGGTCGTAATTAAAATATCACGCCCAGGCAAACAAAGAGTTTCGACGAGATGGGTGTGGGATTTCCTTGCCGCCAGTCGAACAAATAATCTTTAAAACCGATTTTTGTTTTTAATAAAAAGGTCTTAGCAAATATTTTAAGCCGCTCATCATTGCCTTCTGTCGCTTCTCTCTCGATGGTAACCTTTTTTTTTTTTTGCTGTTATTTCTGTTTAAGCCATTTTCCCCAGCCCATCAACTGCCACTCGACGTCTCCAGCTCCTTGTGCATTAAATCAAAGAAGCGTAGCCAGCACGTGTCTGAAATATGCATTAACACACCACCATCACCATCGCAATCAGATGTGGCATCAGCCATCCCATCACCCACTCTATATATATATTTTTTTGAATATTCGTGACCCATGCCAGAAACAGATCACACCAACATTTCCCTGCGCAAAACAGGAGGGTTGGAGGCCCAGCCGGGAGGCCGGGAATGAAATCATTTTTAATATTAATTGCTGCAATCGAGTGACCATGACAACAGCGAGAGAGCAACCCTCAAGGATCCTTTGGGCACCAGGAACGAGGAACCAGGAACGGGAACAGGAACTCCGCACCCATAAATGGAAACAGAAAACAACCAGCAAAGTGGTTGGCTTGGAGCTGCAGCATCTTTCTTCAACCACCCGTGACAAGTCGCTGGCGGATGTGGCAATTGAATTTGGTTTTCGTACTGCCATTCTGGCAACTGTCCGTTAAATAAAGCCCCAGACAATATTTGTTTGTCGCTTCAGGGAGAGGTCCTTTCTAGTCCTTTCTGGTCCAGACTGGGCCTGACAGCTAAATGAACCACTGGGCAAGTTCGATTTGTGATTGCCGACAGATTAATGGACTTTGTAATGGAATCTGAAAAGGCTCATCTGGGTGTAGGTATTCAAAGAAAAACCGTTTCTCAATTTGGTAAGTGGGGTTATAAAGGTTTTGTTTCGCATGTTTCCTTTTATCTATTTTGTCATTGCAATAAACATCACACAGCCTTTTTGCAAAAACAGGAATTTGCATAACAAATTCAAACTTTTCGATTTAATTCAAAGCACGTCCAACATTAAATGTACGATTTTTTAATTTAAAAGCTTGTAGTGAGATTGTTATTTTTTAACTAAATAAAGTTTTAAAATCATAAGACTCGGTTTACGTATGTATCTTAAGAGCTCCTGCTGAAGCAATGAATTCTTTAACAACCTCCGGACTTAAGAACAAGCAACTGAATCTGATTGCCTGGTACTTTGAAGGGGTAAAAGCTCAACTTTTGCCTTCTTGCTCTCCTAGCTTCAGTTTCGTTCCCCAGGGGCAGCTCTACCCCTAAGACTTTATCCGCTAAACGATTTTCTTGGGATCCTCTTTGTGCCGAGGTGCTCGGCATGGGCACTTGCTCTCGAGCACATCCCACAACTCACATCCGGCATTCACCACCCAAAAGCCGACCCCAAACCCCTTTTGCATGCCCCATTCCCAACTGCCCGGCTCAGACACAAATAAACGATAAAAGCACAGTCGTTTGCCAACAACAGTAACAATCAGTAGCGAGAGGATGCCACCCACTCGGTCCATATGGAATATTGTCTTGCTCCCTACACTCGAAATACTGTACAGTTTGATGAAGAATATAAATGAAATTGCACTTCAAATTGCGGATTGTGCCTTGTCTTTTAAGTATGCAGCAAAAAATACAATTTTTAATCAGAACCAATTTTGCATATACCCTGGAAAACAGCTTGTTAATTATCCGGGCTTTATTAAACCTATACAATCCAAAAATGTATGCCAGTGTACTATCCAACTGAGCTGAACAAGAAAAGCAAACACACAATCTGGAATCCAGGAGCGTTCGTAGCTCCGACCCACTCGCCTACTCGCCCACTCGCCATTGTTTCGTCGCACTCGCTCGCCAGCTGTTCGTTCGTTGTTCCGTTCGCCGTTCGGTTCGCCCGCTCGTTGGTTGCGTTCGACAAACGCGGGAGTCCACTGGGCGCACAGAAAACGAAGAAAGCGGATCTAACGGAAAAATGCCGTAATGGAAAACCCGCTCAGAGAGAGAGAGCGAGAGAGAGAGAGAGAGAGAGAGAGCCAGCTTAGGGGTGGTGAAAGCGGAGAGAAAGCGAGAGCTAAAGTTGAAAGTTAAATTGAATTGAGGTGGGCCAAATGTGGCCTGAAGGGTAGAAGGCATTGGTATGGTACTCAGCATAGGGTTGAAGGCCCCTGGGGTCCCTTCGGGTGGTTTGTAAATGGCGAGAGGTGGCGGGAATGAATTTGTTGGGCCATCAGAATGACTTTCAGCATGTGGAAGCCGCTGCTTAGCATGTTTCCTGACAGGCCACGTGCGGCTGGCGGGAGAGAGACAGCCGCAGATAGAGACAGGCATAGGCAGCGAGTGAGATGGCTAACGAGAAATGTCCTTTTCCGTCTCGTTTGCTCGCTACTGTGGGGCTGTATGAAAATGAGGCGCAAATTTTGTGGCCGAGCAAACAGAAACGGGAATAAAAAGGAATAAGGTTCAACAAATGGTTGCCAACCGAAGCTGAAACCCCCAAAAATAACAGGGCCACCCCACACACTATTTAGTAATGACACAAGGGCAGTGGAGGTGTGGTGTACTAGTTAGTACTAGAAATACTAGAAATATTGCTTGTGAGATGGCCTTTCCAGATTAATTGCTGGATAACACAATATAAAAATAATATATATGGTATAATATAATAAATGTATAATAATAACTTGCCCAGATCGCGAACATTAATTAGGCTTCCATCGCTCTAAATTTTCAAGTTAATTTTGAATTACTTTTAGTGGTAAAAGTAATGAGTTAATCTTTAGCAAAGCACACTTCATTTTCTAATTTCCTCACAATTCAAACATTTTTCCATCTGTTAGCGCTCTGTTAACATCATTTTCTCCTGGGCTTCTGTAATTTCTTGGTGGCTTGTGGACTTAGCCGGGTATCGGGTATCTACTAGTCCAGCTCTTTTGACTGGGCGCTCAGCAAGGAGCAGCACGTGAAAGCCACACGGTGAAAACATGCACACACACACACAAATTGCTTTTCCATTTTCACCCTCTCTTTCTCCCACCCACCGGCTATCTCCCTCTCACACTTTGGGATGCTTGAAAATTATGTCAACGAGTTCTGTTGATTTTCCCCATTTCGTTTGGCTTTTATTTCTGACCACCTTCTCGCCCCCCGCGCAATTTTTCCATTTTGTTGTTTGTCAGCTTGGCTTTTCCCCGTTTTCCTCGACCATAGGAACCCGGCGCTGGTTAATTACATTTTACAAAATTTGCTGTCAGGCAGTTAAGTTGGGTTAAGTCGAGCAAATGTCGACGGCGGCAGAACGGCATTTTCTGCTTTCCCTGCTGTTGGTAATTTAATATTCGATTTTCGTAATTTTTATGCGCTGACCTTTTTGCAATTGTGGAATTTTCCTTTTTAATTATTTATGTGCGGTTCTTTGGTTTTAGGCCTGGGGGGCATTTTGGGGAGCATTTTGGGGAGCATTTTGGTGGGGCGGGGGCGCGTCATCGTTTTTGTGTCCTTCGTTCTGTTCTGCATCCGCAGATTAAAAGGAATATCGTTTTGTATTTAATTATTCAGTCAGGTGATGGTAATTGGGGATTGTAATTCGGAATGTTCTCTGTTCGGGAGTGGGCGGGAATGTTTGCATAATGTTTACACGTTTTGCGAGTGGCGGCTGGGTAGGGATTGGCATCTCCCTGTTGGCCATTTCATAGATTAGCTCCCGGGCCCGATGTGTACATACCTATTATGTGCACCCGCACACCCACCCACTGGTACATAAGTAAATCCTACATTTTGGTTAACTTTCCGTGTGTTTGCGAGTGGAGAATTCAGCAAAAATATTTTTAAAAGCTCAAGTCATAGCGGGCAAATACAGACGGTGGAAAAAATTGCATGCCGCCCAGGGACAGGGACAAAGTGAGATGGAAAGGCAATGCAGGAGGGGCATTTGATGTGGAGCAGTGGCGGGGGAAGGACACTAAACAAGTGGGTAAAGAGCGCCTAAATATTGTACACCCTAACCAACAAAAAATGTTATATATTTAATATTGAGATCAGTATGGTTAACAAGGCCCTGTTTAAAAATAAATTAACATAACTTAAATAATACTTTGTCAACAAAAACAAATTTACATTTTACAAATTAAAATATTTCAAGTATTATTTATATTAATTTTTTAAATTAAATTACTAAGACATGGCAACACATTAGATGACATAACCTTTATATATTTCTTAAATATTTTTCCAACATTTTATAGTTTTATAAATAAGAGAATTTTCAATATTTTTTTAATGTTTTTTTTGTGATACAGGTTTTAGCTAAAATTTGTTGTTAGTAGGATAGGAGTTGTGATTATATTTATAATCGAATTTAAATCTAAATGGAACCCATTTTAGGGTACAACGAGCTGCTCTTGCTAACGCAAAAGACACCCGGCAAAAAAGGAAAATTGTGGCGCAAAATGTTACGCTTGCATCGAGATTGAGGAGAAATTGTGGAAGTGTGCGGGGGATTCAGAGGGGGAAAAGCGGTGGAAGAAGGGAGGGGTCGCGGGGAAAGCGAGCATGTTGGCTCCTGCAATGACAGCAGCCTGCAACAGCCGGCGAAGGACGTTGGGTGGTCGAAAGGGGTGGTGGTAGAGTGGGCGGCATGTTGGCAAAGGCATTAAGCTGCGCCCACACACACACATATACGCAAGCTACGAGGGACATTATAGAAGGCGAAGGATGCGTTTTCCATGGAAAACACACACACAAAGAGGACGACATACTTTAGCAGAGAAGAAGAAGATGGAAAACTTGGCGCGACTTTCGACTACGTGAAGCTGTGAGCTCCCGAAGCGGAGAAAACTCACAAGCACTCACACACACACCCACTTGTGTGCATAAAGGACATATATCCCCACGCACACACACACAGACTCACACACACACAAGCGGAGAGGAAAAATGGCAACATAACTGTAGTGAAAATGTCAAGAGAGAAAAGATATTAAAACGTATTTGACTTCTGTGAGTTTTGGATGAAGCGCCGGGGCGGGCAGATGGGGGGATTTTTGGTGGCAGGGTGGCACAATGAAAAATATATAAAGAAGCCGCCACTCACACAAGCACATCCGCCCGCACACTCGCACACTCACTGGGACACACACACACAAACACACCGAAAGGGAGCTTATGACAAAAATAATAAAAATGGCTCAAGAAAAGAAAATGGCAAAAACGAACAGAAATAAAAAAGCAGCAGAGGAAAAAATAGGAAAAAAGTAAAAAAGCGAGAGAGAAAATACAAGTATAAAAATGAATTTTAGATGACAGGCAAAGCAGCTTGTTGGAGGGAGAAAAAGCCGGGGGGAGTTGAGTAAGGTTTGTCTTTGCAGTTAAGCAGACAAGCAAATGTTGTCCTTGTTGTTGTCCCTACACCGCCCATTCGTACTCCTCCCCTCGAAGGGGGCGTGGCAGGACAAAAATGAGAACCAGCAGAGGAAAAATTGTGGAAAAGTTTTATGGGCAACAGCAGCAAAAATTGCAATATAGCCAAGGAGAAGGAGGGCTGTGCTCTTGATGGCTGTGGAAAAGAGGATGCGGCAGTGATGGAATGAGAAAGGCAGCTGAGGGGCAGAGCTGCAAGGGGATAAATGGGTGAAATACCAATTTAAAGAGGCAACTGGTCTATATTTTTGAAAATATACTCATGAAATAGTTTAATAAATATACCACAGTTTGACTAAAATGCATATATCTCTTATACTATTTTATCTCCGGACTTCTGCTGTTTAAATTAAATACTACATACATACACGTAAATATATTATATGCCAATGGACTATAATATTTATTTAACTGATAGAAACTGAAATTGTAATAACCAGCAAAGTAAGAGAAATTTTTGTAAGCAATAACTTTGCCACTTCCTGTCACAGTCGTCCCCAACAAAAAGATTTTCCTAATTCGCTATAATATTTCAACAAACAAGTTCCCCATGGAAAAAAACTGTCAGCATATGCTCCATAGGGCTTATGGTATACCCCAAAGATGAAGCCACAAAGTCCCAAAACGAAGACAGCAAGGCAGCGCGAGAGACAAGGCATAAAAATAAATGAATAACATAAAAATAAATCATACGCCCCATCGGCCACCCTGTAAAAAGTAAGCCAATACCGTAACCATTACCCTCGCTTCAAAATCACACCCCAACCCAAAACCCAAAACCTAAGACCCAAACGCAAACCCAATGGATGTCCTCCCCCCATTTTCATGGCGCTAATAAATGCTTATCGAAGACGCATAAAGCGAGTAAATTCGCAGCCATTAAACGGGCATAAAACTCGAAGCCGGGGCCGAAGCGAAATTGTGGGGCCGACAAATCAAAGTACAAGCCTCAGGACCAACCTCATTCTCCAATTTCCCTGCCCTGAAATAAAACCAGGCAACAATGAAACCCAAAGCGTCTCCCAAGCGATTTCGATGCGGGCATTCATCGGTCGAGCCAAGGAATTGGCCACCCACAAGACCCAAAACCCAGAAGCCAAACCCCCAGTGAACCTGCCACCCTCGGCACCTCCATCACCCCATTTAAAGGCCCTTCCTTCGAGGCAACACTCGCTATATAACCATCTTACCCAACGTTGACAGCATACAAAGTAACTTAAATCGAAACAATAAAGCGGCAACTTTGTTCCAAGAAAAAATGCAAAGGAAAGCAAAAGAAAGCAAAATGAACAGGGAAAAAACGTAGAAGAAAGCTCGAAAGAAAGCAGTAGATGTGTGGAAATGAAAAACGAGCGAAGTAGGTTATACCCTCATGAGTTCTATATTATTCGCAAACATTTTCCAATAACCCATCGAACAATGTATGTTATTAAAATACTAGTATTTTGCATCTAATCAAGTAAGCTTTACTTTGTAAGGCATTCGATTGCTTAGCATGAAAGATACAAAATGCAATACCAATTAGGGTATTTGGAACACCATAAAACGCCGCTGTTTAAACTTCCGATCGAAATTCCCATACCAACCAGCGGGGGTATTATTACAAAAATGTAGGAAAAGTCGTGAAGGAAAGTTCCCAAAGAAATTGAGCTGCAGGCGAAGGGAAAGCTGGGAACGGGGCGAAAAAAGAAATGTAGAAAAGCGCAAATAAATGAATGAATAAAAACGCCAAGGATAGCGAGGATACTATACTGGCAAAGGACTCGGGCTGCAGGGAACAGTGGGGACAGAAGGGATAGTAGGGCGGCAAAGAACAGAGTTCCACAAAGAAATTACAAAATGTATGCAACAAAAAATAAAAATCAGTAGAAAAGTCGGAGTGAAATGCGGACCGGGGTGGTGCAACAACGCTGGAAAAATATTAATAAATCCCAGCTACTGTGCGACACGAATTCCGCCTCCCTTCTCAGCCGCCTTTGTGCTTCTTTTTTTACCAGTGTACCATGGGGCGTATGAGCAATATACGGCAAGAGAAATAGCAACCATATCGAAAACGTTGACATATCAGCAACAACCAGTTTCGATAGACCCTTACTCCTTATACACAAAAAATAGTTTGTTTAAATTTCAATTTTGTACACATAGTTAAACAGTTGCATACCTAAATTACAAAAAATATTCCGGTAATTACACGATTCGTATTCAGTTTGCCCCTTCAATCTAACGAATATTTATTGAATTGGCTAATTTTGTGAAAAATGGTGCTTACTCGCAGTTCTTGTAGCATGCAATCAATTTGTTGAGATGTTTATCCCCCAATTGCTCTTAGCTAATCATCCGCTTGCCCGCCCATTCACACGCCGCTCACATACCGCAACGCCCACAACGCCTGCCACACCCCCTTGGCTCGCCACCCTGCCACAACGACCCTTTGGAAACCGCAGCTTCCCGGGCGGAGTTGCCACTCGAGCGACCACTAATCATAACGATAACACCTAATCAACCGCAACTCGGCGGGCCATCCAGCGATACGGAATTCGTAATCCGGACGGAATCCGGAATTCCAATCGAAGTCCGCAACCGAATCGAGGAGCAGCCGGCCCACCCACTCCATGCGCCCACAAATCGAAACCGAAAAAGGTTTCGGGCTAAATTAAATGAAACGTTGATAAGGCGCAAAAGGGCGCACTAAACGATTAAATCGACTGAGCGAGCAAATGAGAGAGTGGCTTTCTCAGCCGCCCGACCTGCCGCCACCACCCCCCGCCGCAGGTCACCCGCTTGACGGGTGCTTTCCACCCAACCACCCACACAACTGCCATTGACAACTGACCCGTGGACCTGACGGAGGGCGGACGTGCCCGACTGACTTTCGGCACAAGTGCGCAGCGATGGCGAAAAGTGAATTTTCCGCTCGTCGCTCGCCTGGCTTTCCGCTTGTGGGTGCAGGGGAGGTTTCCGGGGTGAGCCGGAAAATTGCCAGCTGAATAATTTCCAGAGCCGACTGCAACCGGGCGAAGTGTTTTTCGGAAGAACACGCAAGGCGCGCATAATCAAATGGTGCCTTTTTTCGAATGAATCGTACTCTGTATTTGACATTTTCAGTACTGGAAGCTATATAAAAAGTATTAGATAATATTTAGAACTAACAAAATTTCTTTGACTACATGTCTGTCAATTTAAATTAAAGTTGAATGTAGCTTATAACATTATTTATAATATTTTTATTATATGTTGAATAATAACTTCAAGTACTAGAAGGCCCATAAAGGATTCAAGTGCGGCACACATATTTTTCTTGATATAAGCTTAGCAAAAGGTGCAAGAACAAAATAATAATACAATAAGATTCGATCATACCCCTTGGTTCCATAAACCCATCGAACCGGGCGCCTCACAGTTGGGTGGCGTTTGTTCGGGTTCGCCTCGGCTTTTATCACGCTTTGTGGCTCGGTTCGATTGTTCGACTGGGTTCGCACGGACATATATAGGTATATATACGTATATATATCCAGAGTTTCACGTGCCATTGCGCATGTGGAAATGCGACGGGCTTTGGGTCTTGCACATTTCCTTCGACTCAATTGGTCGTCGAACTGAAAATTCTGGGCGCCTGGTTCATCGGCAGCGTGTTGCGTTCGTGTGTGACGTTCTGTGCGGACCTCGGACCGATTAGTTGCGGCAGAGGGGCGGCAGTTTGATTCGCGGGGAGTGGGGGATAACACCCGGCACGACACTCCAAGTGAGTCCTGGCTGTCCTGGCCGTCCTGTGTGCTGGTAATTGCAGGACCCCAGCCCAGTTGTGCACACATTTGCTTAACTGGACTTGATTAGGTTTTCGAGGTTAGATACATTACGAATTATTCAGCGCACAGCGGGCGGCCCAACGCCCACCGCCCAACCACCCACAGACCCTTCCCCCTGCTCCATCTCGTGGCCCTTGGAATCGGATCTCTCAGCCGACGCCGATCCAACCCCACTTGTTTGGACTGCCGGCGAATGTTCGTTCGTGGTTCGCTCTGTGTGTTCATTGAATTATTTCAAGCATGCCGAGCACTTATTAGCACTGAAACAAAAAATATGTCGCAAGGGGCGACTTCTTAATCTAATAATTTCAGTTTTATTGGAAATCAAAAAATGCATTACTTGTGCAGCAGGGGAACATCTAGGGCAACTGCGAATTTCCATTAATATTAATTGCAGCTAAGAATATCTTTAATTTAGGTTACAAAAATGACTAGGTGCAATATAAAACTATATTATATGCTTTAAATGAACATTTTTAAAAATTTAATTTCAGTTATTTTTTAAAGAATACTTGCTGTGTGTATCACCACTCCAAATAAATAAATTGAAATTTGAGTAATAATATTTTTGCTGGTGCATAAATTATTGCGTGTGTTGCTGGTCGGACTTCCTCAGCTGCTGCTTTTTTTGATTGTCTTGTAATTGCGTTAGGATGCGAACTTTGTTATCCTTGCCACGTAGCACATAATTGTAACCATTAATATTTTATTGGGTGGTGGTTGCTGTCTGACAGCCAGCGGTACGTTAATGCATTGTTATGCCAAGCCAGAGCATCTTTTCCCCTCCCTCGAGCCGACGAGGTTAAGTTTAATTAATCGAAGACGGATGCTCGTATTGTTCCCAGTGCCCAGTCAAAATATTTGACTTGTAGATGCGCCTCTAATTGAGTGCCCCTTCAAGAAGTTAATGCCCAAAGTGAAAGTTGTTTCTGGCCAACTTGGACTTGTTTCTTGGGGCGCAGCCCATCTGGCAGAAGTGCACGAAAATGATGTAAACCTAATTAAATTTCCAATAGAACAAACGACGCCCCTCGAACAGATTCGATGGAGTTCTGGGTTCTGGGTCCTGGGTTCTGGGTTTTGGGTTCTGGGTTTGGCGACGAGCAAGAAGGAAGCAACTTTGAGGATGGCAACCAGATAATTGCCAGATTGCGTCATGCGAGTGACTTTCCTTTCTCCATTACCCCATATCCCCGGCAGTTTGGAAAGCTATCAACTTTAATGCGATGACCGGGGGGGATTGGGGCCTTGGGCGGAACCAAATGGTTCTACATGGGACTTCCTGACCTGGGGGCAAATTGACCAAGACAGATCAAAGAACTCCTCACCAGAAACTTGTTTCGGAAGCTGTCAAAAGCTAATAGAAAAATGTTTCGAGGAAGTTCTGCTTGGAAACTTACAATGCTTATAAAACTAATGCGCTTCTAATCCATTTCATCTCAAGAAGAGAAATTATAACTATTGACCAAATATATAGCTGGGTCCTAAAAATATTGTATGTACCTAAAAATTACTGCAATTTTAAAGAGCACTCAAAGCCCAATTTTATTATGTAAATTAGGATCAAGCATGTGTCAACTCTTTTCCACTTTAAGTTTATCGTGCACTTGAATCTCTCAAAAGCTTTCACCTAACTCCAAAATGCCTCTACACCCAAATCAGCATAGATGACATAGATAAGTAATTTCATTATCGAAGGAAACACACAAGTGGCCTGTGCCGAACACAAATCTCCCCCAATAAAATGGTATATACATTAACAGAAGCCTGCTGCCCTTCAGTCATCGTCATCCCCACAGTATAAAGCAAAACCCAAATATATCCAACAAGGCGAAAATTATCGAAATGACAAAATGAAAGTGAGTGAACCACCGCCCCCTAAATACCCCACCCATTCATGCCGATGGGTGGTTGGGTGGTGGAGCCCATGACATTGTCAACGTCTTGGCTGCTGCCTTTGTATATTGATGATTTTCCACACCCACACATAGCAATACACATACAAATTGAATTATCCCAAGGACCAAATGTTTCTGTCCTTGGATGTGGGATGTGGGGCCTTTGGGTGGCTGGGAGCCTTCTGTTTGTGTATCTGCGAGACGTCAAAGTATCTTAATTAAATTTCATCCCTTAGACGAAAAACAAAAACGGAAAGCAAAAGAGCACATAATAAAAATGTGCAGCAATTTCTCTCTCGTTTACTCCACTGACTAATAGACAATTTACGCCTTGCTCACAACCACACAAACCAAAAATAACGACGGCAAAAAAGTCACCAAGGCACGAAACATTTTCAAATTAGTGAATTTCCCAGGCAGACAACCAAACAATGCTTTCCACGCCCCCACCCCTCGGCGTTCCCACTTTTTGGCTTGCTATTTTAGGTTCGTTAAGTAACTCACGGCAAAGACGTACTGCTTTTTTATAATTATGCTTAGAGTATTCCAAAAAGTCAGCGGACTTCTACTCCTGACTAATGACTCTGTTTGCACAGTTAAAATTTAGAATTATTTTCGAGCTGCCTAATAGCTTTTCTCCCTTATACCAATACCACTTAACCTTAACATTCATTAACTTTATAATTTAAAAACAATAAAAATCAATAAATTCAAGCCCAAATTCACTAATGAATCCCTGTTCTACCTAGGCTTGTTTGTATATAGCAATAGGATTTTAAGACTCCCTAGTTAATTCCATAATTTTACAGTGCACCAGGGGGGAGGGCGAGGCCAATGACTGGCAGTCAACTGTTATGCCATTAAATAAAGTTGGCAACACTTAATGCACAGCGACAACAAAACCAACAACTGTTGAGTACGAGGTGGGAGGACTCTTCCTTCGAGGGGTGTGGAATTGCTAATAAAATGCTGGGGGCGGGGTGGAATACCCAGAGGTGGTGCAACCAAAATCTATAAAATGCAGCAACAATTTAGTGGGATGGCGACTTTTGTCCTAAAAGTGTTTTGTATTGCTTTTGTTGCAACCATTTGTTATTCGTACGGTTATCCCTTTCACTTCCCTTGAGTCCGTGCCGCTGTCCCTACGAACAT